GGCCGCGGGCGGGACCCGAGCGGCGAGCACCGGGGCGGGATTAGGAATAAACTCTGGGGGGAGGCGCCTGTTTTGTATTACTGTCCGGGAGGGCTCGGTCGTGGGTGGGTTTGGCTCCGTCTGGGGCCAGTAGATCCTTGTCACTTCTCTTTTCCCCTTTTTTTCTTCTCCCCCCTTTTTTTTTCTTCTCCCCCCTTTTTTTTTCTTCTCCCCCCTTTTTTTTTCTTCTCCCCCCTTTTTTTTTCTTCTCCCCCCTTTTTTTTTCTTCTCCCCCCTTTTTTTTTCTTCTCCCCCCTTTTTTTTTCTTCTCCCCCCTTTTTTTTTCTTCTCCCCCCTTTTTTTTTCTTCTCCCCCCTTTTTTTTTCTTCTCCCCCCTTTTTTTTTCTTCTCCCCCCTTTTTTTTTCTTCTCCCCCCTTTTTTTTTCTTCTCCCCCCTTTTTTTTTCTTCTCCCCCCTTTTTTTTTCTTCTCCCCCCTTTTTTTTTCTTCTCCCCCCTTTTTTTTTCTTCTCCCCCCTTTTTTTTTCTTCTCCCCCCTTTTTTTTTCTTCTCCCCCCTTTTTTTTTCTTCTCCCCCCTTTTTTTTTCTTCTCCCCCCTTTTTTTTTCTTCTCCCCCCTTTTTTTTTCTTCTCCCCCCTTTTTTTTTCTTCTCCCCCCTTTTTTTTTCTTCTCCCCCCTTTTTTTTTCTTCTCCCCCCTTTTTTTTTCTTCTCCCCCCTTTTTTTTTCTTCTCCCCCCTTTTTTTTTCTTCTCCCCCCTTTTTTTTTCTTCTCCCCCCTTTTTTTTTCTTCTCCCCCCTTTTTTTTTCTTCTCCCCCCTTTTTTTTTTCTTCTCCCCCCTTTTTTTTTTCAAAATAAAGTCCCAAACTCTGCAAACCGCTCCATGCGGATATCTTGTTTCCCGGTCACGTGTGCTGACAGGCGTGGGGCCGGAGTGCGGTTTGTAAAAAGCTTCAGGACATTTTGGGATGAGAAAAGGCTTTTTGGAAACTCTGGGCTGTGAGTGAAGATGAAAAACTGGTGTCTGTTATCAGTTATTGCAGCATTTAGGGTCTCGTATAGGGTGGACTTTGCAGTCCGGGTTGCTGATCTGTGGCTTGGTGTCCGTGGCAGGAGTTAGGCTGGATTCGAGGGAACCTACCGGCATTTATTCCCAAAAAAACGGGGTGTGCTGTAATTGCATGTTCTCTGGGGAGGGGGTTGTGCCGGTGGTCCTGGTTTGCACAGCACCCTGGGTGCAGGAGCTGCCTTTCTCCCACCAAACCCCAGACAAACGGCAGCCCGGGGTGAGCGCCGGGGCAGCCTCCCCGCTTTGCCGCGGCCCCCCAACCTTCCCTGCCTACTAAAAGAAGCGTTCCTCATTTGCCAAACAAGGCGTCTGCTTTCCCAAACTTCCACCCGGGCTTCGCTCTGCCGGCAGCAGTGGCGACGCCGGTAGGCACAAGGGCTGACGCTTTTCCCCAGCGAGAACTGGAAAAGCGCCGTCCAAAATACACGCCCGGCATTGAAGCAAGAAATAATTTGGGATCTGTGCCCGCTCTGACCCCTGCGGCGCGTGATTGCTAACAGCTGGGAGGGCTCGCGGCGGCAGCGTGGCCTCCCGGCTCCGCCTGTACCGCTGACGCCCTCCCAGCTCTTGCTCCTCTTTTTGCTTTGTGTTTTGGGACGCGGTGGGGGAAGGATTTTTCGGCGTTGGCATGTCACCCTCGGCTATGGGCTGAGTGCCGAAATGGGATCCGGCATTCAAAGGTCTTCTGGAAGCAGATGTGGCTCCGCAAACTGGCTTTTGGGAGGGTTTTCCTTCCCCCAGCTGCAAGCGCGCCTCTCTCCTCCTTCCCGCTGCCCTCCCTGGACCAGAGGGGGAAGGAAAGGGAAGGCGAAACGAAACCCCAAAGGAAATGAGAAGCAGCCTCCCACCTTTGGCGCTGCCCTCCCCTTCCCTGGCTGCTGGCCAAGCGCTGCCTTGAAACCGGCGTGCGCCGACCGTCGGGGAGGTGGCGGAGATTCGGCACCGCTTTCTGCGCGGTGGTGGCACCGACATCGCTGCATCGACTCCCTGAGCCCTTGGAAGGGCAGTTCCCAACCCCCGGCGCCTGGGATATCTGAGAGGGAGGTTTTAAGGTGATGCGGGAGGAAATGTGGCCTGGTGGTTAATTCCTGTGGTGAGGTGGAGGGGCTTTGCCGCAGCTTTGCTCTGAGATTTGAGGCAAACCTGCTATGTGTGACCCCCGCCAGTCCTTTTGGTCTCCTTCTGGATGAGAAAGTTCCGTGGGGGTATATTGGAGATTTAAGAGCAGAGCTGCTTGGTCAGGTCGCTTGCGTACATAAGAAAAAATGTTGCCCCATGGCAAAAAAAAAAAAAAAAATTAAAAAAAGGACGTTATG